CCTCTCGGTCAGGGGACTGCCTATCAGCCAAGCTATTCCAGCTTGAAAATTTTCAAATAAAGAAATTTAAACTTTTGTCAGATAAAGTCTTGATTAATAATTTATATTTCATTTTCAGTCCTATATAAACCTATATTCAGTCATATATAAATCTCCACCTATATAAATCATTTTAAGATTGCTGCATTTTAACCCACAACGAAACAATGGTCAGACATTCAAATGGACAACGTATGATCTTTTCATTTCACGATGTAGTAAAGTTAAACTGAGCGTAATGACAAGCTTAAAAATTTGTTCTAGATCTAAACAAACTTTGGTTCTGAAGCGTGTGTGTTACTTGTCGAGTTTTCGATTGCACACTTACACAAACACGCAGAGTTTGCTATTTAACAGAAACGGTTCAACATCTTTCCTCGTTTTGGAAATCAATAAAACTGAAGTCAAAGCATAGAAAACGAATAGCGTAGAAATTAATTTTACGAATGTGCACCGTTGAACCTGTGATTTCTACTCATAAATGGTTCTGTATGAGCAAAAAAGGGGGGCCCTATAGGTGTTAAAAGATTGCTTTATTGCAAATTTCTACGACACAGTTCCTTGCTGGTGCAGGTGCAACTCTGAAATGATTTTGACAAACATAATAAAGGCTCCTAAAATAGTTATTTGTTTTAAATGTTCTTCTTTGCAAATTTGCAACGAAATCCATAATTTACGGTTCGCCTACCATAGAGACAATTTAGATTTGAATCCCAGCAGTGGCTGGTTGATACGAATTCTCTTCCTGGATCACATCACATCGACCACAGCGCTAATGTAAAATATCCCTCAGTGTTAGACAGATCATGGGTTAATATCCCGTTGCCGTCAAGCTATCTGTAGGAGGTTTTCTTCTTCATGTAACGCAAATGCGTGTCAGTTTGATCAAAAATATTTCGGCGAAAGCTGTTCTAATGCTTGATCAAGGAGTTCTCCTGTCTTTGGATCTGGGCTCAAAATTTCGAAGCTGCGAAGTTGAACATAGATAGTTGTAAACTCAGAATTAAGTCAGTTGCTCAACGCCGGTTATGAAACAAAATGTATAAAAGATAATACATTATTTTCTTCTTTGAAAATAAGGCAATCAATAGAATTCTTACCGTAGAAAAGGGAATTTAGAAATCAATTTTACGAAATTGACCAAGAAATCTATATTTTATGGATACATGGTTAGGGTGTTGTGTAAAATGACTCTTGATGGTTTGAAATGTGTTTTCGAATTTTGTGCTATTTATACAATTATCATTCAACCAATATTTCAGAGATCCCAATGATTCTATTTTTGATTTATTAGGAACTAGCCGCCTAAGGCGGCCAGCTGTCCGCCACGTAATTAATTTTTTATGGTATCAATTTCTATTTCTATATAATTTTTTATGGTATCAATTTCTATTTCTATATAATTTTTTATGGTATCAATTTCTATTTCTATATCGCTACAAAAATTATCGTCTTCGCTTAAGAAAAAAAAATAGAGCGTGGAAAGAGGAATAAAAACTTTTTATAACAATTATGAACAGTGACAAATATATCAAAGCGAAGCGTTCTATCAAAGATTGTATAAGCGTATAAGTTCTTTGGTTCTATATACGTATCGAATATGTTGCCACATTTTTAATACAAAAGTTAAACTTTTCCCCACTTTGATAAATGTAAACTAATGCGAACCTTACAATTAAATTAATAATTCTTTCGTATATTATTGGTTTAAGTTGTCGAAAATTAATATTTCAATTGTAAGGTTCGCATTAACATACATTTATAAGAGTGGAGAAAAGTATATGCATTTTTAATTGTTTTTTGAATATGTCTCTTTGAAGACGAAAAAGCATAGATTTTCTTACAAAATGACTGATAACTAAAAAACTAATCCAAATTTTTGAAAAAGAAAAAAAATACTTCTTCATTATGTCAAAACACAATTATGTGCCGAGTTTCGTGCCTGGGCGAGGCTTCTGGGGCGATATATTGTGATTACAGACACACACGCAGCCGCGTTTATTATTATGTATAGAATACCACTTGGCATGCTCTCTTACAACAACAATTCTACATTCAGTTACTTTCCTTTCACCAAATCTAAGTGACATAACCAAGCGAATTAGCTAACCTTATTCTAGAGGTCCTGAAGGATCCATTTTAGATAATATTGCTTCGAGAGCAACCTGTTTTTTATAGGTTAACCTATTTCACTCTGTTCTACTCTGATATTAAAACAAGATGAAAAAGAAAAAGAACCTAGATACATAGACAAAATACTCATAAAATATTTTATATTACAGGGAGACAGTGGCGGTCCATTAATGTGTGAAATAAACAAGGAATGGACAGTTATGGGGGTAGCTAGCTACGTGACAGACACAAATATGGAACATGGATTATGTGGTCTGAGAGGTAGACCCAGCGTCTTCAATAAAGTTGCTGCCAAAGTAGCATATATAAACAGAATGATTAACCTCTATAGTTAATACTGAAATGTTAAAACAAATTTCGGAGATGCTTAAGAAATTAAATAAGTTTTCACGGAAGTGTATTGTGTTATTTTAAAAAATAAAAAAAATTTTGCACTGCTATTCTGCAAAAATAAATTACCCACCGTGAAGTTTTAAAGGTCATAATAAATTTTATTTTGTTAAATGAAATCAAACCTACCAGATTTACTGGCGCAATTACAGCAAATAAGTGACAATCCGTGAGCGGACTTATATGAAGGAAATTGCCTTCAAATTGCAGATGTTGTATCAGATTGATGCAGACTTTTGATTACAGGCACCAACCAACAATAAAAATACATGTGTTTCCTACACATTTATTTTTGACATAGAACATTTAAAAATGAAAACCCGAATATGCTTGACACATATTTAATTTTAGCACATAGTATACGTTTCAATAAATAAAAAATATCATAACATATGCATGTTGGGATCAATATGAATAGTCGATTAGCATTAATACTAACCGGTCAATACTAATAATAATCAAAAAGCCGGTTAAAGTGAATAATTTAAGCGAATTTATCACATTAACCGGTTATTATTAATAATTACCAATGAAGTTTGGCCAAAGTGCTTTTGCATTTTTATTTCTCACTTTGACCAAAGGAACACAATTTTTATTAATTTCGACCGGTTAAACTGTCTAATCACATTAACCAAACTTCATTAGTTAATATTAATAATAACCAGGTTTATAACTTTAACCGTAACATATACATATATATATGTAACATAAAAAGCTTCAATTAATCTTTTTATGTTATTCCTTTTCTGTAAATCCTTTCCTTAAATTATTATTCTAATCGATACACTTTTTCACACTTTTAAATTCATATCCTGTCCTTTAATCTATTTCTGGTTCAAGTATGCATTAATTAAAAGCAAGACATTTTTCCCTTTGATTTTTGTGGGAATCGCGCGACCTGTTCACAAACCAATTATAATTACTAAGATTTCTCCTAACTTATATCGAGGAGCACAACTTTTTGTGATCACTTTTATAGTACTTTTCTGTGTATTAATTAATAAATAAATTTTGTACCCTCCTTCCAGCCTTAAGATCTGTTTTAATCCTTCCAAGCGGCAACGACGTTAGAATTACAAAGTTTCCCCTATTCCCTAAAGCGAAGTATTTTACGGATTTACTTTGTAAGATTTTCCCTAACGTATATCGAGGAGCACAACTTTTCTTTATCACTTTTATAGCACTTTTCTGTGTATTAGTTAATAAATAAATTTTCCCTGCCAGTTAATTTAGAATCCCTTACGTCTAACTTTAAAATTTATAACAGAAATTTAAATATCGGACATATGTCTCGAAAAACTGCGATTTGATGCAAATTTTCATTAAATATAATTGTCGAAAAAAGCAATTTATGATTTCTTTTTCTGAAAGGAATGTTATTAATTTACGTATGCAACTTCAAACCGCAATTCTTAAGTACTAATTAAAAACATTTAAGTTGAATAATTAAAAAAATAAAATATCCATTACAAGATTTAAATTAACTATACTAAGTAATCAAAAATTCAAATTTAGCATTATGTGTTGAAAATCTAATATGCTAAATTTTAATTACTAAACATTGAAATAGCGTACTCAATTTGCATTTTATAAGTGAAATAATTTTAGGAAGATGATTACATTGACCCATTTTAGTAATAATTAAATCTCAGATTAATAATTAAATGGTTAATAATTAATTAAAACTATTTTTAATTTTAGAACTAATTAAATTGTTAATTAATTGTTAATTGTTGATTTAGCGATTTGTTAATTTATTTAAACGATATTAAAAATTCCATTAAGATTCATCCCGTCAAAGACGAATATTGACGATAAAACTATTTTATATCTTTATATAAAGGGAGACTTGGATTGTGTTTACATAATTGAAATTAATTTTTATAATAATTTTTGTGAAAACAGTACGGAGATAAACTTGACCCTAGAAGTGAATTTAAAATCCAAAATTACCACGATAAGAGTATTATTAAAGTAGAATACAATTTAGCCCATTTTATTATCACTCTAATTGTTTTCAGCATATTTCAGTTATTAAAGTTTATCACTTAAGTACTTTTAGAACAGGTATAAAGTTCTTTGTAGCTACAAGTCAGAAATTCAGACAGTGCAATCACCCATTTCATGAAATTTGGTTATTCAAATATTTTTAAAAAATGTCCTCAAAAATTAGAAGAAAAAAAAGTTTTAAACATTTTATTGTAACAATGATAATTTTGAGAGTAATTTAAGCAAGTAACTACTCAATCTTTTTTTAGAGAAAATACTTTTTAAACTAATAATTTTAATGATTAAATAAATTATTTGAGAGTAGTCGAAAGAATATTTCAGTTCAGTTTTATTTATTTATTTTCATTTACATATGTCATATAATTTCCAATTTATCGTTCGCTATCACCCATTTCCTTGGGAACTAACATTTGGAATGGTAATCAAGAGTGATAACAATTTCAGATTTTGCATTCAGGAATGAAACAATGTTTCACATGCCAGTGTTGTCCATGCCACGCTGATGTCTACTGTCAAAATGTGGTTGCTAATTTTCATTGCTACGTTGATCATTGGCTACTCAAGCGCCGACGGTAATTATTCTATTTTTTTTCTTTTCTTTTTTTATTATTTTAAATACAAGATTATATCAGCCTGTGATTTCTTTAAAAATCTTGAATTAATATTTTTATAAGGTTAATTAAATTCTATTAAAATGCGTGTTTATAATTTTTAATCTAAAAAGTCATATATACAGTATCTGTCACATGTACAGTATCCAATGTATACAGTACATGTGACATAGGTACGAGGTATATTGACAGTATAATAAACAGTATCTGTCTAGATTCTATACACGGGTATATATCTGGAAAAATCTGGATAATATCCGTATACCGTAATTATAGTCAGAAAAATTTCGGTGAAAAATACGGGTACTTTTTATTGTAAACTCCATTTTAACTGGAACATGTTATGGAGCAAACAATCTGTTATACTATTATTTTTGAAGTAACAATTACGTAAAGTCACTGAATCACTCTAATTAAATAAATATTACTGTAAACTTTACTATATTTTACGACACAAATAAATTTTATGGTAAAATGGATCTTATGGATGATAATATGCCGGTACTTTATACCGTAATTTGATCCGGAATTTTTTACAGTGTATGAGCCGTGTATTATTAACGCACATGACTAAGATTTAGTTTCTGGTATGCATAGATTAATGTAAAATATAGAAAGGCAAAGCATACAGAGCTACGCAAAGCATCACGAATTTGACAATAACCAGATTTCATAATGCAAGAATAATTCATAGCTATATCTCTTTGGTGGCTCGAATATGTATACACAACAAGGTGCCCGTCATAGAGGAGAAAATAAAAGGCAACACTCCACCTTTAAGAAAGTATATAAAATTTAAAACGAGCTTGCCTTCTCGTAGTGATGCTGCTATCTAGTGACAATGATAAAAATAAAAAATTTTCATTATTCCTTACAAAAACAAAATATACAAAACTAGCTTTTCATGCTATTCACGAGTCATTAAAATAATTTTTTCCTTTTTTCATGAAAGAAGACAGGAAATGGAGTCCACTTTATAAAAAAAGAAAATTTAATAGTACAGTAAATCGATATCTTTGATTTCAATGAGTTAAAAGCTTTATGGAATTGTTAACTATAGTAACTGGCGCTGCCATCTAGCGATGCTTATAAAAAGTAAATGTTCATAAGTTGCGTTCAATACAAAAAAATAGAACTTATTTTAGTATTTCTAGAAAAAACACGCTTTCGAGAATAGACATTTAAGAGTATTCAGCCCAAATATTGTTTACTTATATTTCAAATAAACGGTACGAATATTTAATTGCTATGATAAGAAAGAGAAAATTTCGCAAAAGCTATCGTGGCGTAAGTAGTAGGAAAAGGTGAAAAGGCCCAAATGTATAGCCCAATGACACATTGCTTCTTTAGCTATTTTGGCTGGAGTGGTTTATCTCTTATAATTTGTCACTGATTATGTGTTACTTGCAGAAACGGAATGATCGGGATGATTTATGTTTGTCTATCTTTTTATCACTGTTTATATACGTACTGCGAGAGCACCTAGCGAGAGAAAAGAAAACTAACCCTTTTTGTCACATTATCAACTGTATTTCTAAATTTTCCTAATTAATATGATCTCTGACTCGTTATTAATTGATTGTACATGATAATAATTATTTTAAGATACTGTTCTTAAAAGAATCATAGATTAAGAATTATTTTAAGTTACTGTAACTTAACATAAAATGTAATCTAACTTTACTGATTTAAAATTAAAAAAATAATTTTTCCAATTTGAGAAGAAATTTTTTTTTTCTTCACATTTTATAGATTTGAATGAAGCATGCGTTAATACACTCACGGGTGGACAACCAAAAGTTAAAGTTATCAACGTTCGTCAACCAGGAATTTTATACAGTCCAGGATTTGAAAAGAATTCTAACTACCCAAATAATGTTCAATGTGCATACCAACTTCAAGCACCACAAGGAATGGTAAGATTCCCTTTTTACGAATTATTTTAAAATAGTTGTTTCCCCTAATTTCTACGATTAGAATCAGGACACATTAGGTTTTTTTTCCCAGTAGAATAGTGCTTTTTGAAGGTCACTGAAAAACAACGGGGAAAAAAATAGTTACCTTTTTTGAAATTATTAAAACTATACAAACTACAACATATTATAAAACTATACTAACTACAACTAACTACAACATATTTGGATTTTATTACCGCCTGAATATTATTAAGTATAATATCATTAGATATGATGATTAAGGCTCTTTACTAACTGTTCCAACATATCTCGCCCATTATATATTCTGATCAGATCAGGTGATTTTGCACACCAGTTGAAATGTAATTGAGTGTGTGAGTATTGCTAAAATGAGTCGAATATTTTTTTTCCATCTCAATAAAGATTGCTGATGTCATCATTGAAAAAAAGGGTGTAGACAATATTATGAAACATTGACTGATATTTTTGTCATGAAGGTATTGACTGAGAGGCAACCACCTGATTATGCAAAATTTTGCCGTGCATGGATAAACATGTTGGTTTGTATTAGTGGTCAGTGATCGCTTCAGTTTCTGACCTTCTTAAGAAAACCAAGATCTGAGCTTTATAAGACTTCCAAAACACCTAAAACCGATTTTTATTATGTTGTTAATCATATTTATTTTAATAGTAATATTTAATATTAATAGAGTGAGTAATATTTAGTTCTGTGAGCTAATAAAATATTATAATACTTATTTAGATTCAAATAAATAAATTTTAGAAATTTGATTCAAAAATTCCTCATTTATGATGCGATCAGGAGAAAATTTCTCGCTAAGTAGACATGAGCTGAATAGACTGCTGAGCTGAGAATGATCGAAAGCGGAAAAGTTTAGGTTAATCATTAAAAAATATATTTGAAACGTAAATTCTAGAAATTATGGAATACTTTAACAAGTATTAAAGCTTTGCCAAGAATGCCCTAAATTAGACTGGCAGTTTGAAAAAAAAATTTAAAAGCTAAAAAATTAATTAAAAAAAAAGAGCTCGTGTAAGAATATGTGAATTTGTGTAAGAAGAAAAAAATTTTTTGCTCCAAAAATCCTGGTTTCAGTTCAAAAAATTTTGAGCAAAAGGCAAAAAAAAATTCTCTTCCACAAATTATTTCGTTGCATTTTAATGCCAGTTGTGAAATGGGAGAGCCTGGCAATCTCCCTGAGAGCTTTACCCCTACTTGCCTAACAGCTGAGTTGTTTTTAAGTATTTATGATAGTGGGTTCGAATATTGATGAAATGATTGAGGTTTCGGGTTTTCTTAAATCCCTGAAGATGAACATTTCCAAATCTGGTTAAATCTGGTCTGGTCAAAGCGTAATTTTCTTACTTTAAAAGAATTATGATAACAATTATATGATTTTTTGCATTTTTATGCTTGATTTACTAGTTCATTACTTGCAGCTCCATCTATTGAAACATTTTAAATTGAAACCAAACATTTCAGAAGGAAATACGTGTGCTCAATCACATGTTTTTGCTGCAATAATTATTTAATTATAATGGTTAAGTAATTCTAATTATTTTTATTTATTTAGTTTAATATTACACCTTTAGAGGTATTAATTCTCTAAGCAATTTAAACTGGAGATTTACCTAGATAATTTGATGTTGCAGTAAATGTTATGCTTCATTATTTTAGTTTTGATTTCATAAATTTGATTTACAATGATTTCACCCACTGCTGTTTGTAAATAATATTTAAACAAACTATGAGGTTCTGCTACCTGCTAGCTTTGCTCACCAACTAAGTTGCTACTCATCCAAAAAAAAATTTCTTTTTGGAAGCCAATATTTTACACAAAACAAGGAATATTTTGCTTTGAGGTTTTGCACTCGAACCATTAAGGTTTAGTCAAAGAACGTAAAAAATTAATCAAATGTTATTCTATATTGCACACGGACCTTCTAATGAAAACTTTATCTAATAAAAACTACGGAAAGTTTCTTAGTCATTTCAAATTACCAACATATTGTTTTTATTTTACAAAAATACAATATTTTACTTACATTAATTACATTAATTTTTTTTTAAATTAATAATCAGGCAGATTTGCATATTGAGAATATTTCACTTGCAGCACGTGCGAATTCATTTTAATGCCCTCGATGTAGACATCACAGATGGCTGCGGGGGTGATTCCGTGAGTGTCCATGATTTTGAGTCAAATGGAGCTGGTGTTTTGGTGAAGATGCACTGTGGAAACAGTTTGCCAAACGACTACGTATCCAATTCACACGCGTTTCAAGTCATATTGAAAACTGATGAGTTTGGTGCTAAAAGAGGATTCAATATCACTTATTCTATGCAGGCGAACACCAGTAAGTTTAATTTATGCATAAGATTTTTTTTTTTAATAAATCTAATAAATCTGAAATAACCAAAAGTTTTATTATTGTATCCATTTGCCTTCCTTTTTCACTACCGTCTGAAGAAAACTCAAGTGAAAATTTTGTACATACACCAGCTTAATACCTGTTTTTCGTATGGGTAAAATTAAGTCAATAATTGACAAATCGTTCAATTAATAATTAATAGAATAGAATATATATTGTTGACGATATGTTAGTGTTGATTAACAGTGTATAGTGTTGTAGAGTACAGTGTTGATTAATTGCTAATTTATAGAAAAATTTAGTAATAATTCAATATTCCCACACTCTTGAAAAAAACTAAAAGACATTAACACAGTTAACTCAATTAAAATATTTCATTTTCATTCTAATCCCTTTTCGGTGGTTCTGCGTTATTAGTAAAAGCATAACATTGTAGTTCATAGAAGTTCAACTCATTAAAATAAATATTAGGGAGATTTCGCACTTTCATGTTAGCTTCCGTACGTAAGGATGAAGCAACTGCGCATGCTCGCCTTTATTTTAGATGCTACGTATCTTTACGTTATGTTAGCGTAATTTACGCTGTAGATACAAAGCTACAAGCATGCTGTTTATAGCTGTGAAATGTGGTTTTCTGTTTAAGCCTACCTTCAAACCATCACTCGACCAAACGGACGTCACGGTGCACTTTTGCATCACCGGTCTAGTAACTACTCTATATCCACGCCCTCTAGTGAGCTGCTTCGAACTTAAAACATGGAAGTGAAACGCGAATTTCGAGAAATGTATTGATGAAATTTAGAAATGAAACGTGTGATGATCTCACAACAAATGGTTCATTCAATAAATAAATAACTTTATTAGTTTTTGTTTAACATTATAGTTGTCTAACTAAGCATAAGTTGCACTAGTTTCATAAGAAACTAGATATATTTTCGCAATTTCAAAATTATAAATTATATTTTTTTAACTACACAATTTAGTTAAAAGAAATTAAATAATCAATAGAAGTTCAATAATATTTTTTAAATATTAATAATAAAAGTCACAGTTTTAAAAAGATAGTCTACGTCCGTTGTTAATGTTTTGATTTTGTGGTCCAAGTTAAAATGATATTCCACTAAGTTAGCGCTTTTTACTCATACTCACGGAATCTCTAAGTTTCACTTATCTCTTATTTTCTCTTATGTAAGTTTCATATTTCTTCCCTGGTGCATTTCACCAGTACTGACGCATGCGCATTAGAAGTGCGCATGAGCAATTCCTTGAAATTTTACGTACGGGAGCGGGGAGCGTACGGACGCTAACGTAAATTTGCGAAATCTCCCTAATAACTATACTAAGATAATCGTATTTAAATATGATGCTCAAGCAATATTCGCTATAAATCTCTTTTTAGTAAATAACTTATATTTTTGATTTCAGTTATTATTCAGTCGTGGGTGGTTGGAGGGAAAGTTTAGCAAAGAGTTCACTTTTTCATAGGTGGAGAAAATTAAAGCGCGCGAAATATGCGAGCATTTCCTTAGGCGAGAATTCCAAACAGGCATACAGTTTCGATTCCTTGATTTATTATGAAAGAAAACTCTTTAAATAAGATATATTTTTATAGATTTCTTTTCTACAATACGCTAAATAAAGGAGTGTATATTTATTTTCCTCCGAATTTCTTTCGCCTTCTTATCTTCTTAATCTGAATTAGAGTTCCTTTTATCTAATTCTTACTCAGAGAATAACTATAATGGCTTCAAAAATGTCCGAAACAGTGGGGTTGCGAAAGAAAAAGATAATGGAATGGTTACCACACTTGGCAACGTATCTCCTTAATCTCACTTTCTTCCTCTGTGTTGGGATTTTTTGTGGTATTTTAATTTTTAGTATCATGCTGTGTTTGAGTAAAAAATACATTAGAAATTAAACTAAAACAATTAGCATTTTAATGAAATTGGTAAATTATTAATAACTTTGCAAAAAATTAATCGTTAAAAGTTTTTTTTATTGTTTTTATCAACATATTTTTTATTACTTAAATAAATATTTTTATCTTAAAATAAAAAACCATTTTATTTATTACTTTTTTGTTAATTTAATTAAATCCTTATCTTTTCGAAGGAATTTCGATAGATGAATGTTTGTGTCGATAGATTTTTGCAGTCAAAATTTAGATGACTTTCCGATTAGCTAGAGCACTCAAAAACAGTCTTTGAAATAGCGATCACGACCGAAACTGTGTTCTTCACACAGCTCTCACGACCAACACTCAAAGCACGGTGACCTTAATGCATCCCCCCCCGCACCTTTCGCAAAACAGCAATGAAGCATCAATGACAGCATTCATTCTTCAATGACGGAATTCATTCTACAAATTCTATCATAGATAAAATTCTGCTGGAGGAGTAATTTAGCGTAGCTACCACTACAACTATAAATTAATAATCACTAGTATATAAGATATATCAACTCAATTATCTCGAGGTACCTTTTAGTAGATGACGGTTTAAATTGTTGGTGGTCTAGTCCAACAAGAGGTTTCCGAAATATTAAGAAACGTTATTGAAAACTGTTCCATGTATTCATTTCCATGTAATCTTACAATTAATTTTTTACAATTTTCAAACTAACTAGAGCACTCAGATCTCTACTTGAGTGCCCTATACTCTACAACTGACAATATACTGACAATATATTTTTCAATTATTTCCTGCCCTCAACGAAAAATTAGCAGCAATCGAAATTCTGATCAATGTCCGACTACACGTAAAAGTTACATTTTAGGTGTGCTGGACAGCAATAAGAAGAACACAATTCCCCAATCTTTTTTCTTGTTTTTGTAAAACACCTAATTTTTTATGGTTTTACATCTAGGAATTTGTCGTCAATCCATATTTTAAGTGCGGTAAAGTGTTCAAAACTAAACTAGAGTTCTTTAATGGGAAACAGTGTAAGTCTTAGTCCTTTTCAAGTCACTACAAACATATTTTGTCTTCATCATCACTCCCAATTTCTTCCATTTTTCGACTAGAAAGCGTGCCCGAATTTCAACTCTGTATCTGATGCCACTGCAAGTTACAATTGTTTTTAAAATGCTGCAAAATCCTCTTTCTAGTCCACTTGTAAAATATATAGTTATAAGTATTTATTTATTAGCTGAATACCCGTTCTAAGGCGGAAGGGGGTGCGATTGCGATTGTTCTTGTTTCCCTGTGCCACCATCTATGACCAAGAATTTGGCTTCTGCCACACCCATACGTCACACCAGTTTATAGGGTGGACCCATTCATACATCCATTCATTCATCCACAGATCATAATTTTGACTTGGACCAGAGAATGATCAATCTCAAATTCAGTACCTCCCGGAGGTATTGATTTGTAATGGGAACATGGAGGACTCTGTGACTCCATAAATTTAGCGTGTACCGATAAGTCTTCGACCGGCTGGATTCAAACTCTCGCTCTCACAAACGTGAGTACAGCGTTCTACCAACTGGGCCACCTACAGAACTGAGAGACATATACCGACTCAATTAATTAAGATACAATATAGTGAATAGACTACTCACCATTCCACAGTAAAATGGTCCTCGATGGAGATTGGTCGTTCTTAGGGTTTACCTCCATTCACTTCAAAACTGTTATCGAAGGTATATGATTGTTCGCAAACGATTTTAATTGTAATTACTTTCATTTTCTTGGTGCGGAAATGCCACTTCTGTTGTCGTCATGAAAAGACGGATCAATGAGTAAAATTTAGTGCTAATTAAAATGATCTAAACTGTTGCAATTATGTGTAAGAACAAATTTACCAATTATGTGAATGATAGAGCTATTTCAAATAAATAAGCAATTACGTTTTTGGTTAAGTTTGCAGTTAATTTTATATCGGAAAAATCAATTAGCTTTAAGAGATAAGAGGTTAATTTTGTTTGATATGCTTGTTTCTTCTAAAAACTTTTTTTTTTCTAATTAAACTTTCAATTCTAAAAGTAAATCATTGATAGCATCATCTTTAGCGCACTCTGAATGCAACATGAAGTTGTATCGTCAAAAAGAGCTCTTTAAATAATTGCCTCACACAAATATTTTGAATACACTTTCACCAATTTATTTATTTCGTTAAATTTTTTGTTTTACTATTTTTTCGTCTTTCCTTATTTGACCTTTTCCGCATTTGGTTCAGATATTTCGCCGGGTCACTGGGAGAGGTTTTAAAAGTCTCTCTTAAAGGTTTTCTTCAACGCAAAGTCTATGGAAAAAATTCAATACCTCCCAAAAGTGGTCATTAATAGAGGAGGGCGCAACAAAGAGGTGGCTTTTCATGGATGTTTCACTGTATAACTCATTTTTCGTTTATTTATTAATAATTGTTACCCTTCCGATAACTTTACTTTATTTTATTTTAAAAAAATACTTTAAAAATTCCAAAAAAACGGTTTTAGAATTTAATTTCATTGAAATAAAGATTAACTGTTTTTTTCAGTATCATCTGACATGCTAGCTCGAAGCCAACTTACTTATAACACTCAAATATTACTAAACTCAATTTTCTCCTGTATTTACCTTATTTATGGCGGGTCGCTTGAAAAAACAATCGCTACAGTACCCATTATTTCCTGAATAATAAAGAATAAAGCCCCAAAACAACGAATTTTATTAAAAAAAAACTTGTAGTAGATAGGGATTCAAAAAAAATTTACATTTATTCATCTCATTTTCCAATTTTTCGTTCTATGTAGCTAACTAGTGCAGTGATATATTATCGATTCGGCTTAGTTGGCGTTTAGAACATTTTACTTTCAATATTTTTGTTTTTACAATACTTTTATGAAAGTCAAGATTTAATGGTCCTCTGAGAAAAAAAGTTGGTCAAAACTACCATAATATACAGTAAAATTTACCGAGTTTATGTCTTTATAGGAAAATCAATATCAAATCCAATAATTTCAATAAAAATTATAGATTAAATAATGCACTATCTGGAGTTATATTAGAGCTTTTAAATTTTTCCCATTGCTCATTTTTGTGGAAGCATAAAATTTTCCAAGCAATTCAAGCAAAATTTCCAAACAAATTTTCTTTTTACTCATGTCTTCCTTATTTCATTCTGTGGCATGATGAATTCTACTTTAAACAGAGAAAAGAAGAGGTCTACATTCTTAACATTTTTCTGCATATATTTTCCTATTTGTTTAAAAAGATTAATAGTGCATGCCATCTATATAAATATTCATTTTATTCAAAATGAAGATAAGAACAAGAAAAATGATGAGAAATTAAACTGGACGTAATTTGCTAAACAGAATCTTTTTACTTCTGTTAATAATAACAATAATTTGTAAAAATACTTCTTTTTAATTTTTTTAAAAAAAAGAGATTTTTTTAAAAGACTAACTTTTAAGCTGTTAATATAGCTAAAAAAAACGATTATAAAGGACTTCATTAATTCAATTACAAATAACAAAATTAAATGATAAACTCAATCTAAGTGGTAGTTGAGCGTTTTGCCGTAACAGGGAGCTAAAAACGTTATGACTGAAATTTTGCCATTTTGGCAGGCATCGATTGAAAAACACGTCTTTTTATTTTTTCTAATATTAGAGGGGAAACTCTTGAAATATTTCTCTGTGGTACATACAGACATATACATAAACATTCTGCTTTACAGATTAATTAGCTGTGTAAGTTTAATTTAATTAGTTAACTTGTTAGTTAAAAATGACAAGCTTTTATGGAAATGGAAGATATTTTAAGATGTTAGAAACATGCAGTTATAAGCTAAACTTTTGATATTTATGAACTTAAATTAGCTGAGAAAATACTTGCACTTAAAATAATGGCATTTATTTTTCTCTAGAGAAAACCTTTAAAAGCAATTGATACACTAGAGGTTAAATATCTGTTAAGAATGTCAGAAACGTTCTCATCTCTTATCATTATCCATTTTCCAGACTGGATTGTACAGATCTATTATCTTGTCTGAAACATATATATATTTCGGAAGTATTCTGGTAAAATAAAGTAATATATAATTGAGAACCTAGCGAAGAAAATTGACTTTTAAAACAAATGAAATATTTTTTAATGATGAGACAACTATTTTTAGAATCATTTAGAAAAATCTAATTTAAATCTACAGAAACGTAATATTGTGATTTACAGTTAACTTAATTCCTCCTCAAAACGTTAAGAGATAATTATCAAAAAAGAAGACAATTTACAACAATTCACAACAAAAAATTTAGTCGTTTAATAGTGTAAGCAGTTTAATTAGTTTGTGAAAGTAAGGTTTAATTATATTAATGAATTAAATAATGCAAATTATTTAAGTCATGTAGTTTCTTTAAGTTTCATTAAAAATCATTCACTGAGAAAATAATATCAAGCCCCTTACATTCATTGTACATGAAAAGGCGATAGCAAATCTTATGGCAGTTCTATTGTCACTAACAAAGTCACAATAGCTTTCACAAATGAATGCATGAAAGTGTGAAAAAGAGAATAAAATCAGTGAAAAACTTTATGCATGAAAACACAATATTGTTCACAAATGAAAAACTAAAACTGCAAAACAAATGAAATAAAAACCATGAAATCTCTGTTATTCAAAACACAAACTCTTTCACAAATAAAAAGTGATATTAAAACTTTGGAGGAAGAAAAAAAAAACGAAAATTGCGAAAAATTTTATAAAATTAACGGAAACATGATTTGCAAAATTACAAGATCTTTCCCAACTGAAAAAAAATTATACTATGAAAAATGAAATAAAAACCAAGAAACCTGTATTATTGAAAATGCAAGATCTTTCCCACATGAAAAAAAAGGAAAATTACGAAAAAATGGAATAAAACCAATGAAAATTTCATTTGTAAAAACACAAGATCTTTCATAATTGAAAAAAAAATCAAAGTTGCGTAAAATAGAATAAAATCAAGGAAAAAAAAAGTTTATACATTTGTAAATACAATTGTAAATGAAAGTTGATACATTTGTAAAAACACCACAAGATTTTTCCCAATTAAAAAAAAAAGAATGATGCTACTAAAAAGGAAATAAAAACCAAGAAACCTTTATTATTGAAAATACAAGATCCTTTACCAAAGAACAGAAAAGTGATACTACGAAAAATGGAATAAAATCTTTACGTATGAAAACAAAATATCTTTCACAAAAAAAAACGAAAATTGCGTAAAATAGTGTAAAACCAATGAAAACTTCATTTGTAAAAACACTAGTGAAAGATAAAATGAAACAATGTTATATTATTTGATAATCTCAATCAATCATTCCTTTACAAGCAAATATAAGTACTTTTGAGCGGGTAGCGTAAAAACTGAGAAATTATAAGCTTTTTCTTTATCGCAGTAACATAGAACAAAAAAAATTAACACGTTTGTCTTCTTAATCTAGTTTTAAAGGAATTTCTGTCGATATAAAAACTTGTCAGAATAATTTATTCATTCTTATTAATAAACATCTTTCGTTTTCACAACTCATGATGCTATAAACATTTCAGAAAAACATTTCATCGTATCCTACTTGCTGAGAAAGGGAACATCTGTCAATCAATCGATTCATCTCACATTCAATCGATTTATCTCAAGTTTTAAATTTGACATTGAATATAAATGAATATTTGAGCATGAAATATAAGACGATAACATTTTACTTCTTGTATCATCATTCGGGGTTACTTTAGGCCACAAGGATAACTTTTTGACTTTTACTAGTCAATTTTGAACATTGATTTCGTTCCGAGTTTGAATGTAAATTTTCATACTATAAATTCCCTCTTTGAGAAAAGTTTTGAAGCACTCAATTTAATACTGCATGCGCTTTAAAGGTAGGATTGCGAACTTTTATTTATACACTGTTTAACACAGAATTGATCGCGTATCTCTAGAACAACTGAATCGATTTTAATGAAATTTGATATGTACATGCATTGATACAATACAAAACAAATAACCGTTCAACAATTGTAATACGCACTCATGATAGTGCGTAACACTGGCTGGAGTCAAAAGGTATGAAACAGCCGCTGCAGAATAAACAAAATAATGGGTTAATTGGTGGTATGGTCCTCTCTTACAGATATACGGGCCTTGAAGCGTGATTTCATACTTGAAAAAGTCTTCACTATTTTCCGTTAATTTTAGACCTAGGTACCTTTAGACTAATTAGAAAATATGTCATTCACTGCACTGCTTAATTAGCCTAAATTTCTCAGGTCGCTTGTGATTAGCTCAAAATAGTGAGTGCAGGATCCTAGGATAAATTTAGGCCTATTAAGTATTAGCAATACGTTTTTGCTGTTAGCCATTTTAGCTGTAGCCAAGCTTTGGGCTGTATGATAAAGTGTCCATAATGACCTAGGCACATGTCCAAAGCTTGGAGAAAAGAAAAGAAAAAAAAAGCCGTTTTGGCTCATTGAAAAGCCTCTAAGCTGTCTTGAAAATTCTTCAGGAATTTTCTAATCAGTTTAAATACACATAAGGACACCAGGGCAAGTTGCAATATGTCTACAAAATCGGACAAACTACAAAATGCTGAGTTATTTCCAATTAATCTGGTACATTGCAAAACGCCAGCGACAGGATTTCAAATGGATTTTCAAAGCGCCTAATGGTTCTAGATTCTGTCTAATATTTAATTTTATAAATATCAGGCTGAATTTAGAACCATAAAAGTACTAAGTTCATTAATTTTAATAGTTACTATTAAGAGTGGAGGGTCACCAGTTCAACCTTAAGTTCCATAAAGAAATCGAAACGTGCAAACACAAACTAACAATGATCGATGAAATCATTTTTCGAGTATTTAAAGAACACTTTTAGCGTTTCCTATAACATTATTAAACAGAAGACGAGAAACATTTTGTTATAGTACATAAATGTATTACACTTAGAAACGGTTAATTTTAATCCTTTCTGTAACAGAGAATTGTTTCTTGCAGATATATGCGAAAAGGGAAAGAAACAATGCAGAAACAGAAACTGTGTGGATTATTTATCTTTGTGCGACGGCAAGGATGACTGCGGAGATGGAACAGATGAAGAAAGATGTAGCAGTAAGAAAATTAGTTTTAATAATTTTTTTTCTTCCTTTCTTATTTCTTGAGGCTATGGCTACAGCTTATGAAAACACAACCCAGTTGAGCTTTTTTACAGGAAATGCGACCAAATTAGTTTCCAAATTTCGAATATGTTGAAACCCAATTATTCTGCGCACATTCAATGACACGCAGCTTGAAAACAATTTACAGTTAAAGAGATTACCTAAATTTGTTATATTTAATCTTTTTCAAAAACAATATAGAAAAAAAAACTAAAAATTGGAAAATCATTCCCCAAATTAATTATTTAGGGATTCGTTTCTTAAAAATTATGTTCGTTCATTCAGTTTTAGTTACTTCTTTTTTTCTGAAGTAAAATAAGTTCATCAATAATTAAAGTTAAAAATTATTTTCCAGAAATATTAGAAGACCAGGCAGCAATTTCGATTTTGGGACTTTTGATTTTCGTCGGCCACAGTTTATCTCATTGAGTACTGCAAAGTCATGACAAAGAGCTTTTAAATTACGGAATTACGATGTGAAGTGTTTCCTCATCCACCATACTCACCTGATTGCGTCACCAGATTTCCAGAGATCCGATTGTTCCATCTCTAAATATTTAACTTAAAATCCATTTAATTTCTATCGATCGATTGAAAGTTTGCCCACTAGATGGCACAAAGTTATTGAGAACGATACTGACAATGTATCATTGATTAAAAATAAAAAAAAATTAACGATTTAAATTTAGTTAAAAGAACTTATTTTCCTTTCCTTCTAATACTTAATGAATTATACAAAAGTTTAATGTCAAGTTACATTATTATAGCTTGCTCATTTGTCAACTGAGTTTCATAGCAATTTGTTATTTTACTGTATAGGGTAAACTCACCAGTGAAGGAACATTTAAGCTTCGCTTGCCTTTTAAAAAATCATATTAATTTCAAAATTCGTAATTTAGTTAAATGACAGTGTCAACATGTTTGTTATTAATTGCAAATTATGTAAAAAAATTGTAGAGAACTTACATAATATTGTTTTAAAGTTTTGGAGGTTCAAATAACAAGTAGTAAGAAAACCAAGTGAAGGAACAGCTCTTACCAGTGGATGAACACCAAGTAAAGGAACAACTAATTTTGGTTATTTTTTAATGCTCTTTATGAATTTATAAGCCATACAAATATTTAAAAACAAGCCTATTCTTGAAATTATAACATATAAATACTTGGAAAATGTTAACCTTTTTTTATAATCATGAATTGAAAATTAAAGTGTCAACACATTAACACATACTGTTCATTCACTGGGAAATCTATGCCCAGTAAAGGA